GGCTTGGTATAGGGGCAGATTGATTTCCCTCAGAGAAGGCCGTGAGGAAGGCCAAACGAATAAGCGTGTCCCTGCCCCGCCCGCCCCCTCGCTGCTCCCCTGCCCGCTCAGCTCCTCTCCAGCCCTTTGATACGCACATAAAAGGACTTGGGATGAGATGAGTTATACACACACAGGCGGGAGGGCAGGCAGCCGGGCGCGGCCGGTTCAGGGCGGTTTGCGGGGTGGGGTTTTACACGCACCACGCACCGTGCGGAGGGGAAGGCGAGGTGGGAGGGGCGGAGGAGTAGCAGAAGACAGGTGAAGGCTCGAGGGGGAGGAACAAGGGGAATATTCCTAGCGTGGCGTCTCATCATCCCAGACCTCTCTGCGAGGGCAATTATCATTACGCTGCACAAAACGTGTGCGACCCAATGAGGTAATATTTTTCCCCCCTCAAGTTTTAAAGAGTTAGTGACGTCGCGCTTCGCGAGGCCGCAAAAGCGCGGCTGTGTGATGGTGGGGGCGGAGCGGGCGGAGGAGGAGGTTGGCCGTCGGCATCGGCAGAACGAGTGTGTGCGAGGAGGGAAGGACCATCAGGAGGAGGAAATGAAAACAAACACATATCGGCAGGGGAACATTTTTGTCCGCTCTTGCGCTCTGGCTCTTCATGTCGCGGTGCTCGATCAAACACGACGGCGATGTCGCAGGTGTGTACTACGTGTGTGTTGGTGGTGAGGTGTATTGACTCGCGCGTCGCTTCCTTCGGGATTGTTTGCGCTCCGCGGCGACGCGGCGAGCAGGAGGCGAGGCGGGCGCGTTAGCAGCACTGCGCGCGCCGCCACGGGGTTGTACCAGAGGGGGACACGTGCAGCGGGGGCACGTGCGGCTGCTTTAGGAGAGCCGATGCCATTAATTCGACTCCTCCAAGCGCTTCCTGCCGACTCTCTAGCTATCCGCTGCGCTCCAGGCGAAGAACATGGCAACTCCAGTGGCCCCGCGCGCCGCGACTCCACGGAGGCTATGGCCGCACTCCAGACCAGAGAAGAGACCCTTTCCGCGTTGCCGCTAGGATGACGACGTTGGTGGCGAGTGGAATAAACCCGCGGCGGTGACCGCTGGAGTGCGGCGGGGCCTCAGGCCGGGCACATACTGACCAGGCACAATCACGAGGAGCACACCCTCGACGGGGTCCTCCAGCAGCGCGCCACACTGCCTTCCGGGAGCGAGTGGGTAGAAGCTGCTCTGCCCTGTGAGCGTGCGTGCCCGCGGGCGTGCGGACCCCGGCGTGCGGCGGCTGCCCGCCCCTGCCTGGCCCCCTGGCGATGATCGGCCGCGCCGCTGAGCAGACACGCCCGGGGCCGGTCTAGTCCTCGCCTATATCGCCCGTGTCGAGCCTGTTCCCACGCTCGACGCGTCGCCACGCACAACGAGCAAGAGAGCGCCGCCCGCATCCACAATGCGCCAGAAACGGCCCGAATCCCGAAACTTGTGAATAGAGCCGGGGGCGCTCTGTGCCCACCTCACCGCCGGGCGGACTACGCGGCCCGCCCCACCACAACCACGCCCCCAGCTGGCCTGAGGATGGCGACATTTTTGGTCACTGTCGTCGTGACGCAAACTAAATCTTAATTTTGGCGCAATGGCGCTCGCCGCTCGCTCCACCCACAGCCGGATGTGACTGGCCGCATGGGTAGGGACACCGCCTCGGACTCGGCGTCCATGTCAGCGAGCGGGAGCGCGTCCTCGGTACTTCGCCCGGCGGCCGCAGCTGCTCGGGATGGCCTCATCGGGCCGCATACCTCGTCATCCGCCATTTCCAAGTTGATTCGCGTCTTTCTTATTTCCGACCAAAATTCAATCAATTTGCGGACGCGCCCCTCAGCTGGCCGCCCCTGCTCCTGCTCCAGTAGTCTCCGGGCGCGCAGATGGGCCCCATAAGGCCCGGCGCCTTATCCAATAAAACGCCTCGGAGTGGAGCATGCTCTGCAGGGAGAGCTGCTGCCCTGCTGCTGCCCCGCTGCTGCTGCTGCCCTGTACTCCGCTGGCCTTGACCGTGAGCAGGTAGCTCCGCTATGCTAATGCTGGCTCCTCAAACATCGTGCGCTCACGCCTAATTGCCACTGCCGGTACAAGCTCGCCTGCTCGTTGTGTTGTGTCGGGCCGGAGCGCACCGGAGCTCTTCCGACCTCCTCCTCGTTCAGCTACTGTTTTCGCAGAGGCTCACACTAGCGCGCGCACGCGCACGGAGAATAGGTCGCTTGGCAGCCGTGCGGAAGGAGCGGCGCTATCTACAAATCCATCGGCCTAGCAGAGCAGAAGTCCTCTGGAGCAGCCGGGTACTCGCCACACCAGCACTGTCCGGCCTCGCAACATTGTGAGGGCTCGCGTTGGCCTGGTCATCAATAATCATTAGCGAGCAACACCAGCAGAGCAGCAGCAGCGGCGGGCCCCACTGGGGCAGTAGGGCCGCGCTGGATGGACCGAGCACCGCTGGGACCTCGCCAGCACCTCCCCCCCC